CTGACATCCTATCTAATCAAGCAAATTTGTTATGTTATGGTGACTATTCATCCCTGTGTTATATGCTGTGATATGGAATTGTTCATGTTGTGTCTTAATATAGAGACAGATTGCACCAAACATTCCTTTGTCCAAACTCTGGTTACTGCTCTTTGCTGATATTGATAGTGTCCGATATATCCCATCAACAAACTCTGTATCCTAAAGGTGAGAGTTTACTGTACTCTCTATAACTGGTAATTACCACTTATCTCTGACCATCCTAACGATGTTCTCTGATGATGCGTCAAAACAATTCCCCTCCTCATTTATCTCAATAGCACTGTCATAACCTCTCCATCATCTACCTTATCTCACCAACTGGTACAAAAGAGCTCCAACCGTAATTCAACTCATATCATTAGTTTAGTACAGTCCAATATATGTAGGTGAAACCCATCTCTTGATTTCCTATCCCCATACCACTGCCCAAAAAACTGTGGTCTCTGATTTTTGGGAATTTGCTAAAATGGTAAATTGTTATGGGATCTGTTATTCCTGGCTTTCAGGTCAATTCTTGCCATGAAGCGTAAGACTAGGGTTAGGAGGAATTTGTTTGCCATGAATTTTTAGGGGAGGATATTTTGCTGAAAAAATGTTACCACAAAAAATCGGAAAAATCAACAAAGTGGGTTATCTATAATGAATGCTCGTTTTTTATAATTAAAAGATTGTACTACGAGACCTTAGCATGGCGGGAGGCACAAATTACAAGGGTTTTGATGAAGCAGATCATCCCAAACTTACTGTTTTACTTTTGTGAAAAATACATATGTATACTACCCACCTAGTTCAGACAATTGATTTATGACAAAACCATTCTTTTTTTTAAACAATGAATTCAGGATACAGTACCAGTCATTTTATTGCGATGACTTTTTATTATGCTTGAACTCATTAAGCATTAATATGACAGTTTTTCTTTCAAAGACGTAGAAATGTCTCATTATTTTCACAAAACAATTTGACTGTTCTTTACCTCATAGAGTGAGTCTTTCAAGAAAACAGATTGCACAAGTGTATAAAGCTCTAAGCTACAGTGGTATATACAACAACAAACTGTTATCATCACATGACTCTGCCTTGGTAAATAGATGTGTAGGTTGAGTTCAGTGCACAAAGGGTATCTTACCAAAGAAACAATCCGTCGTAACAGAGTTGCAACAATTAATTGTTCTTGACTTCTATCATGTAGCACTAGTATGTGTTGCCAACTGTTCAATATCTCCAACAGATTACCTAAGCAGGAACAGGTCTAAAACTTGACTTAAAGGCAATGGTGCCTTTTGTGTTGTACGTGTCCATACATTATGGTCATGGCACCGTTTCTTAATTATGTTTTGTGATATTTCTCAACAAAAATATGTAAAAAAATAATGAATGTTAATAGTTAAAGGAAGAACATCTTCTTCCCTGTGTGACATGTATTATGTGTTGAAACTTTAAGTTCCATTATGTGCACGAAATTTGGGTAACTTTTTGTTTTTGTTTTTGTCTTTTACACATGCAAGTCATGATTAAAATATACAAAGATTTTATTCCAAAATTGGTATTCTAAAATATGATATTCATTTACCTTTCTAGTCAATTATGTTTCATCAGAACGAAGTCTAAGTGAAACATGATCCAGGGAAACTGGAGCACATGAGGGGAACACGATATTGTATTTCCCTGTAATGTGATCTGCATAATCTATCAGTCACGTTTTAATTAGATGAGGTATAATAACAATTCTGATGGCATGGCTTCAGTTAACTATCTAAAATATCTATTGAATGGAATCATCAGACATTAAAATTTGAAGAAATATTTCTTTGGTGCCAATTGCAACATCAGGAAATATTCCTTTACTAATTAGAAGGTACAAAATATTATTAACTATTTATGCACCTGTTTTCCTCCGGAGATTCCCAATACATGAACTAGGTATAGTATTGCACCTGCAAGATGGAAGTAAGTTATTAGCATAATCCAAAATCTGATAATCTAGGTTTTATTAGGTATATCTGTACCTGTTAATTAGTGAGAGTTTGTACCTGTTAATTAGCGGGAGTGATACTAATGTTTGGACGAGATGAGCTAGAATACCAGTCATTCATAGCCGCTGTATCCCCACTCACGAGATGGTAGAATGGGACGGTAGAATGTTGTGATGGGTGTTATAATGCAGCTACTCATTTTGTGTAGGTGTGTTAGAGAATGGCAGGAATTCGGGGCTGAGCAATACCTCCTGGCATAAACGATCACTGACTGCAATTCTTCATCATCAATGCAAGATATTTACTGATAAGCTTTAAATAACATCCATGATGCATCATCAGTCAATAACTGAATTTTAACTGACAACTATCCACTGTAACGTGTCAAAACCTTCCAACTTAGTACCGTTCGCATATTACAAAATATTACACGATTTGAAAGCAATATTTCAATTCAGATAAAGACCTAGTAAGTTTCAGTACCAATTTGAAGTGTATTATATATAATTATTAATTATGTATTTTTAAGGTCTTTGAACACAAAAAAAACAAATTGTGAAATTAAAACAAATATGAAAGAAGATACAAACAAAACATAGATGAAGAAATATATTAGATTTGTAATGTTAATCAAGTTTATGCTTAGAAAATACCTGCAAAACATATATGCCCCACTCATGTACATAATAGTGTCTTGTTTGACAAATTTCTGTAAATATAAGTGCATATAACAATGACCTTGACCTTGACCTTGAGCTCATTTGAGGCATCCTCAAACTTGACCTTAATGAAGCCCCTCAGACTTATTGTTTATCAATGAAAACAAATCACCTAAAATAGGAAGTTCATTATCATATCCTATTAAGTTCCATTAGGGAGAGAACCAAATTTTTATCATGTCAGAGTGTAAGAACTTTTCTAAGTTCATGATGTTATGAACTACCAAAATAGGCTTTTAGGGTGTGAAATCCAGGAGATTCAAGAGATTATAAACCGCTGTGATATTATGACTCAAATGAGATTCATCAAATAATGAACACTTAGAAGTATAGGGAAAACAAACTGCCAAATGAGATTCATGAAGGTATAAATAGCACAGAGGAACTCTACAGGTCCTGAAGGTATGTCAGTTGATTATTTTATGAATGGTGGGCAATGATGTAGAGTTAAAAATTCCTTTCCTCTGAGCAATGCCAAGAACACAAGGGGTGACATGTACACCAATATGATCAGAAAAATACAACTTGATCAGCTGATTTGAAAGGTGCCATAGTAATTTCTCAAAGACTGGACACACTTTTTACACCTCGGGAAGATAATACAACTAAGTACAGTGAAATGTGTAACATTAAGTGTTGCAGTTCAAGTAATTCTGTGTTCAAAAGTCAATAAACCTTAAAGTAGGTTGATAACTGTAGTGTGAAGCAAGATTAAATGTCTCCTTCCTGTAAGGACACCAGTCTATCACAGTATTACTTGTCAGGATGACTGTGTACATTTGTACAGCTAGGTAGACTGGAGTAATAGGGTAACATTTTTGCTTAAGAACACAAAGAACATTGTGGCTTCCTGTTGACAATGTTGGATGAACCTACAACCTCGAGGGTTAGTAAGCTGATGTAGTATTATCTGTGCTATGCTGCTTCAAAGTCAATAATTGAAACCTACCCTAGGTGTGGTCATAATATGATGATTTATTTTGACTTACCTACCAAAAGCCATGTGTAACATTGAAATTTAGGTTTTAATTATTCTAGAATGTCACCTCACCTAAAGTGTGTCTGTGTCAACAAACAATTGGAAACAACAGTTTATATATATATCAACAACATCTCCATTACTTACCTTATATGAGGCAAACAGTGTTATTGTTATTTTCTCTAAGCAACAAACCAGGACTAAACATGTCAAAACATTATGACATCAAAACTTCATAGTTCACCCATATAAATGTAATAAATAAATCCACTGAATCAAAACAATATTTTCTATGTATTCAATTACTAAACAACAAGCTATATAAGTAAAGAAAAGTTTGATTCGAAGCAACAAACTAGGACTAAACAACAATTTGTCTCTAAGCAATTAACAAACTAGCACACAACACCAGTCTGTCTCTTAGCAACAAACTAGAACTAAACAACAGTTTGTCTCTAAGCAACAAACTAGGAATAAACAACAGTTTGTCTCTAAGCAACAAACTAGGTCTAAACAACAGTTTGTCTCTAAGCAACAAACTAGAACTAAACAACGGTTTGTCTCTAAGCAACAAACTAGGACTAAAAAATAGTTTGTCTCTAAGCAACAAACTAGGACTAAACATCAGTTTGTCTCTAAGCAACCAACTAGGAATAAGCATCAGCTTGTCTCTAAGCAACAAACTAGGACTAAACATCAGCTTGTCTCTAAGCAACAAACTACGACTAAACATCAGCTTGTCTCTAAGCAACAAACTATGACTAAACATCAGTTTGTCTCTAAGCAACAAACTAGGACTTAACATCAGCTTGTCTCTAAGCAACAAACTAGGACTAAACATCAGTGTCTCTTAGCAACAAACTAGGACTAAACATCAGCTTGTCTCTAAGCAACAAACTAGGACTAAACAACAGTTTGTCTCTTAGCAACAAACTAGGACTAAACATCAGCTTGTCTCTAAGCAACAAACTAGGACTAAACATCAGTTTGTCTCTAAGCAACAAATTAGGACTAAACAACAGTTTGTCTCTAAGCAACAAACTAGGACTTAACAACAGTTTGTCTCTAAGCAACAAACTAGGACTAAACAACAGTTTGTCTCTAAGCAACAAGCTAGGACTTAACAACAGTTTGTCTCTAAGCAACAAACTAGGAATAAAAAACAGTTTGTCTCTAAGCAACAAACTAGGACCAAACATCAGTTTGTCTCTAAGCAACACACATTAATTGACAAAAGTTTATATATGTAAGCAAACAACAAGCTAGCTAGGGCACATTTCTTACCTAAGTTAGCCTGTGCTTCCTTTATGTCTCTCACCCAAGCCTGCTTGGAATACGGGGACTTAGTGTCAAGCGTAAACAATGGTTCCAAGTCCTTTACACTTTCGTCTTTGACTCTGTCCTCTAAATCCCAGAATTCCAATCGTCTGGAGTCGGCGAATCCATCATGGTCGAGGTCTGTGTTTTTCAACTGCAAAAGTGTTTACAGATTCTCTATAACAGCAGTTAACTCTGACTATCAACAACTCTCCTTCGAGGTGAGATTCATAAAGGCAACCGAAAAATGAAGCAAAAAGGGGTAAAACCCCGAAAAAGATGAAAAAAATGTGCGTCTCTTCTCTCCGACACTTACTTTGTTTCTAAGGTTTCTGCCTAAGTCTCCCTTACATAAACTTAATAGTCATGATGGCCGAGGCCAGGAATTTGTGCATTTTTTCTGCCTCCTGTAAGTTGTAGCCAAGTCCTGGGGCCTCCGAGCTACAGATAAGTGTGCTGTAGTCTACATTTATGAGTCAGTACCAGTGGAAGAAGATGCTGAGTTAAAAATAGAACTTTTGAAATGGTACAGGAAGCTACAGGCTGATAGGAAGGTTTCTTATCTAACAGACATTCCAAGTTCCAGCTTCAGGGGCCCACCATGGGGTAGATAAACAATGATAATAATTCGGCAAGAGGCCAGCCAGGTTATATTTATTTATCAAGAGCAAGTACATAATTATGTATGTCCCTTTCAAGTTATCTGGTCTCTTTTAGCAGTTGGTCCCTTTTAAAAGTAAAACCTGTTTATAAAGACCACACCAAAACGGTTCGAATAAATAAGAAAGTTGGACTAATTAAAGAGTTCAAATGAGCTAGTCATAACAGACAGGTGATAGTTATATGCCTTAACAGGTGGTAGTTATAGACAGGTGTTAGTTATATACAGATGTTAGTTATATACAGATGTTAGTTATAGATAGGTGGTAGTTATATACAGATGTTAGTTATATACAGATGTTAGTTATAGACAGGTGGTAGTTATAGACAGATGTTAGTTATAGACAGGGTGTAGTTATAGACAGTTGGTAGTTATAGACAGGTGTTAGTTATAGACAGATGTTAGTTATAGACAGGTGGTAGCTATAGACAGATGTTAGTTATATACAGATGGTAGTTATAGACAGGTGGTAGTTATAGACAGATGTTAGTTATAGACAGATGTTAGTTATAGACAGGTGGTAGCTATATACAGATGTTAGTTATAGACAGGTGGTAGTTATAAACAGGTGTAAGCTATAGATGGGTGTTAGCTATAAAGTCAGTTGTATATAAGTTATAGACAGATGTCAGCTATAGACAGATGTTAGTTATAGACAGGTGGTAGCTATATACAGATGTTAGTTATAGACAGGTGGTAGCTATAGACAGATTTAAGTTATAGACAGGTACTAGTTATAGACAAATGTTAGTTATAGACAGGTACTAGTTATAGACAGATGTTAGTTATAGACAGGTGGTAGTTATAGACAGATGTTAGTTATAGACAGGGGGTAGCTATATACAGATGTTAGTTATAGACAGGTGTTAGCTATAGACAGGTGGTAGTTATAGACAGGTGGTAGGTTTAGACATATGTTAGTTATATACATATGTTAGTTATAGACAGCTGTTAGTTATATACAGATGTTAGTTATAGACAGATGTTAGTTATATATAGATGTTAGTTATAGACAGGTGGTAGTTATATACAGATGTTAGTTATATACAGATGTTAGTTATAGACAGGTGGTAGTTATAGACAGGTGGTAGTTTTAGGCATATGTTAGTTATATACATATGTTAGTTATAGACAGCTGTTAGTTATATACAGATGTTAGTTATAGACAGATGTTAGTTATATATAGATGTTAGTTATAGACAGGTGGTAGTTATAAACAGGGGTAAGCTATAGATGGGTGTTAGCTATAAAGTCAGTTGTATATAAGTTATAGACAGATGTCAGCTATAGGCAGATGTTAGTTATAGACAGGTGGTAGCTATAGACAGATGTTAGCTATAGACAGGTGGTAGCTATAGACAGGTGGTAGTTATAGACAGGTGGTAGTTTTCGACATATGTTAGTTATATACATATGTTAGTTATAGACAGCTGTTAGTTATATACAGATGTTAGTTATAGACAGATGTTAGTTACAGACAGGTTGTAGCTATAGACAGATGTTAGTTATAGACAGATGGTAGCTATAGACAGGTGGTAGTTATAGACAGGTGGTAGTTTTAGACATATGTTAGTTATATACATATGTTAGTTATAGACAGATGTTAGTTATATACAGATGTTAGTTATAGACAGGTGGTAGCTATAGACAGGTCGTCGTTATAGACAGGTGGTAGTTTTAGACAGATGTTAGTTATAGGCAGGTGGTAGCTATAGACAGATATACAGATGTTAGTTATATACAGACGTTAGTTATAGACAGATGTCAGCTATAGACAGGTGGAAGTTATAGACAGATGTTAGGTATAGACAGGTGGTAGCTATAGACAGGTGGTAGTTATAGACAGGTGATAGTTCTAGACAGGTGGTAGTTATAGACAGGTACTAGTTATAGACAGATGTTAGTTATAGACAGATGGTAGTTATAGACATATGTTAGTTATAGACAGATGTCAGTTATAGACAGGTGGTAGCTATAGACAAATGTTAGTTATAGACATGTATTAGCTATAGACACATGATATGGTAGCTATAGACATATGGTAGCTATAGACAGATGTTAGTTATAGACAGGTACTAGTTATAGCCAGATGTTAGTTATAGACATGTATTAGCTATAGACACATGTTAGTTATAGACAGATGGTAGCTATAGACAGATGTTAGTTATAGACAGGTACTAGTTATAGCCAGATGTTAGTTATGTACTAGTTATAGCCAGATGTTAGTTATAGACAGGTGGTAGCTATAGACAGATGTTAGTTATAGACAGATGGTAGCTATAGACAGATGTTAGTTATAGACAGATGGTAGCTATAGACAGATGTTAGTTATAGACAGGTACTACTTATAGCCAGATGTTAGTTATAGACAGATGGTAGCTATAGACAGATGTTAGTTATAGACAGGTGGTAGCTATAGACAGGTGGTAGTTATAGACAGATGTTAGTTATAGACAGATGGTAGCTATAGACAGGTGGTAGTTATAGACAGATGTTAGTTATAGACAGGTGGTAGCTATAGACAGGTGGTAGCTATAGACAGATGTTAGTTTTAGACAAGTGTTTGATAGTTATAAACAGGTGTTTCCTATAGATGGGTGTTAGCTAAAGTCAGGTGCTAGTTTAATACAGGTAGTAGCTGTAGACAGGTTGTTGTTATAGACAGGTGGCAGATTCACAAGGAATGAATGGTATTTTTTTCAATTTCATGCTGCCGGTTTCATGGTAAATATTTATGTAACCGATTTGCGTTCATAAAAGCATGAACATTGAAAAAATGATGTCCAATCCAAGTATTATTGACATAAATACAGATATTCCCTGATGTTTTCGATATTGAAGTGTAAAAGTGTGTCGTCAGTGCAAACGAGATCATGGAACAGCTTAACGTCACCAAAATGCTTGCTTCTAATGGTTGTCTCACGTTACTCTATGAACGCAGTTTTTCCTGGTAATACTTATAGAGGAACTAACAGTGAAAATGAAAATATAGACAGGTGGTTGTTATAGACAGGTGGTTGTTAGACAGGTGGTTGTTATAGACAGGTGGTTGTTATGAACAGGTGGTAGTTATAAGTTATAGTCAGGTGGTATAGTTATAAGTTATAGTCAGGTGGTATAGTTCTAAGTTATAGTCAGGTGGTATAGTTATAAGTTATAGTCAGGTGGTATAGAGGTGTGCCACCCCATCATACCCTTTGTCCCTCTTGATGTTTCCATATACTGAGCCGCTTGGCTCAGGGATCCAATACATTACAATAAGGTTAAAATCACTTCTTTCATACTAGTAGAGTAGATTTTAAAGCTTTTCTCAGACTCACTCGGGCTCTGCCCCTCTGCCTCAAAAGGGCCACATCATACAAAATTAAGCCCCCTTTGCTTAGGAATCCCTTAAACTAAATTAGGTAAAAATTCCTTAACTCATACTAAAAAAAGGAGTTTAAAAAAGAGGCCCAGAGGGACTGTATCGCTCACCTGTTTCTTTTGTTACATAAAACTGACATATACCAGTAGGTAACTTCAGACAAAATTTGGTAACTAGAACACAAGACATTTAATTTCTCTTAAACGCTTCTTAAGATATTGTTGTTTGAAATTTGAAATTTTAATTTTAAAGCTTTTAACCCACGCTGACCTTTGACTCTGGCTAGCACTTAAGCTGACCTTTGACCTCATTACTGTAACTGAGGAAAACATTTGCACTGCTTATCTGCATAATATACTCAAGTATCATGACTATTCAAAATGGTTCTTATAGGATATCGTTGTTTGAAGTTTTTAACACATTTGACCCCTGTGACCTTGAAAGTAAATCAAGGTCATTTTTGAGGGGAAACATTATAGCACTCCATCCCAGGTACCTTTTGGCCAAATATCATGACCTTGGCCTTATGGAACTTGAGAAGAAGATGTTAAAGCTTTTAACCCAAGTTGACATTTGACCCCCGACTAGCACTTTAAGTTGTCCTTTGACCTCATTACTGTAATTAAGGAAAAGATTTGCACTGCTGGTATTCATAACATACATGTACCCAAGTATCATGACTTTAGTCCAAATTGTTCTCAGGATATTGTTGTTCAAAGTTTTTAACATATTTGACCCCTGTGACCTTGAAAGTAGTTCAAGGTCATTTTAATGAGGACGTTTTATGGCACTTCATCCCAGGTACCTACTGGCCAAATATCATGACCCTAGGTTGTCCAGATCTTCAGAAGCAGTCGTTCCAAATAGGAAAGTTGATGGATGGACGTCGGTCGATGGACAGGCCAGGTGAACTAAAAAAAGTGTTCAACTTCCCTTATTTAATTAGCCATGTTCCCGGCCCCGAGGATGGGGGTAGGGGCTGACACACCTTTTGTGTTTATAAATAGAACCCCCTTTGCACAGGTATGCTACACACTAAATTTAGTCAAAAGCCATTCTAGACTAATTGTCTTTTAAATGATTAAAAGATCACAGTGAGACCAGAGATGTATTGCAAGCAAAGGGCTAG